AAGACTTAGTTTAATGTGTCTATTCTTTAATGAAGCCTTTCCAATCTCTCCTATCCTTTCTTTTCCTACTCTCTCAGTATTTCCCATCCACATTCATTATAACACACATTATTATTTATATATTGGCCCATTTATTAGTTCCTTTGACAAATATATTTTGAGAGCATACTCCACCTGACACAGCACGTGATACAGGTTATCAGCAGTAAGTAAGCCTGGACCTGGCCTCCTGGAGACCAGTGGGAAAGAGACTTTAAGTAAATAACCACACAGCTACACCACAAAACCCCAGATGATAATTGCTATGGGGAATGACTTCTGGTGCTGGTGACGTGTCTGTCTCCAGGCATCGCGTAAGTGCCAGGAAAGCCGCAACCTCAACCTTTTTATTTCCCCATCACTAACTTGTTCCCTGTACTGATACCCAGTTGGAGTTGAGGTAATAAATTACAGGAACTGTTTAGGTTAGAAATTAGGTTTCTAATTGGAAAACATTAAATTAAATTTGCAGAAATGGAATGGTAAAACTTTTTGGTCTCATGACAAGAGTGGAAGGGACACGAAGACAAATATTATGAATGAAAAAGGCTGCCTCAATGTAAATCTCTCAATTCAGGAATGCATTTGTTATATTTGATATAGTATGAGTTAGACAGAGTTCAGAATATAATGAAAACCTCTATTTATTCAAACTTTTGCCAGAAGGGAGATGCTGTGTGAAGGCCTGGAAGCCTAAGCTGGCACATGAGAGAGTTCTTGTTAATGCTTATTGATATACTAATATTCTGTTTACACCTTTTTCATCTACTGAGTACAAAAGAATTAACAAGTGGTACTTATAAACACCCCCACCCCCAAACTATTCAAATGAAATCCCCTAATATGATACTTGAGATCTCAAATTTCATGTGAGATATAATCAAAGGTATTTCTTGCTATCAAATAACTGGTAATTTCAAGCAATTTTCAACCTTCTGTGTTAAATGCTTCTGAACTGACAGCCAACGCCATAATAAATACTCAAAGAGTGACATTTTGGATTGAGATATTGTAACTCAATGACACAGAAAGAATAATATTGAAATATACATTACAAAGGTTTTATCAATAAATACAAAACCTGCTGTAGGCTGTAAACAACAAAGAGATTTTAAATTGCTCAGATATGTCACACAGTCATAGCAACCTTTTTTATTTGTTGTCTTATGACTCAATTTATTGCATTCAAATACTTGAATTCACTGCTCTTAAAGTTATGATAAACTTGGAAGTGGGTTCTATTTTTTGGGGAATGCAATTTTAAAAAATTCAACAAACCTAAAAATTATTCCTTGGTTCACCACAAAGAAGGAACATTCTAGTCTCAGTTGGTTTGCTGGAGTATCCATGTCCCTACTCATAACATCCAGACAGGTATAAATATGTAAATCAGGCAGTTAATAGTAATGTGAGACCTTGGAGTTCAATGGTTTAATGATGAAAAATGCTACATTAATATTACACTAAACACTCAAATCATTGCTTCAGGAATTGTTTGAATGAGTCCTAGAACTTTGTACAATATAAAACAGAGGGATCATTTACATTTTCTGTTATAGATCTTCTATAAAAGTAAAAAAAGAGTAACAGCCATAAGGATCCTCCAGTTCTCTGTAGCTTTATCTTTCTTGAAAGTTGCTTAATAGTTTAATTTTATATTGAGATTTTCATTCCTCATCCATTTCTGTGGATTTTAACTGCTGCATAATCAGTAACATTTATTTGTGTGTATTTTTTTAAATATATATTTTTATTGATTTCAGAAAGGAAGGCAGAGGGAGAGAGAGATAGAAACATCAATGATGAGAAAGAGTCATTGATTGGTGCATCCTGCATACCTCACATTGGGGATTGAGCCCACAACCCAGGTATGTGCCCTGACCGGGAATCGAACTGATAGGTCCACACTCAACCACTAAGCCACACTAGCTGGGCAGTAACATTTATTTTGTATTGAATTCCCCCTCTCCATAAATTTCCTTTTTTGCCCACCAAAAGTAGAAAGCCAAGTTTATTAGATCTGAGACTTTGATCCATTGCCCCCTGCTTCTCTTCTTACTGACAACTACTGCACTGACAGACACTGGAGGAAGCCGGATATTGGGAAATGTTATCAGAGTGCCCTTGGTTCATTCAGAATTATACAAATATAGGGTCCTATAATTTTAATATTTTCTATATGAAATACTGTGCATTGTGATAAATTATGCTCATTGTAAGATAATTTGGTGATTTGGGATGAAATGAAACCTGTAACATTTCACTATTGCTATAATTGCATCTTAAACTATATCGCCTTTTACCCACTCCATAAAGCAATATGTTTTTAAATTGTTTCCACTTTGACTCAATTATCCTATAAAAGGGTAATATGCAAATAGGCTGAACAGTGGAATGACTGGTGGCTATGAGGTGTACTGACCACCAGGGGGCAGATGCTCAGTGCAGGAGCTGCCCCCTGGTGGTCAGTACACTCCCATAGGGGGAGCACTGCTCAGCCAGAAGCCAGGCTGATGGCTGGCAAGCTCAGTGGCAGTGATGGGAGCCTGTCTCGCCTCTGCAGCAGCACTAAGGATATCTGACTGCTGGCCTGCAGGGAGCGAGCCTAGGCCATCAGTCGGACATTCCCCGATGGCTCCCAGACTGTGAAAGGGTGCAGTTGGGGCTGAGGGACGCCCCCCAACCCCCGGGTGCACAAATGTCGTGCACCGGACCTCTAGTGTATAGATATTTTAATTGATACAAATTCTAAAATAGTATAGTCTGAGTTTATATATATATATTTGTAAATATATAAATTATAAATATATAAATTACATAGATGCATATTATATAATTTGTATAATATATAATTCTAAATGTAATTTAGAAAAAATTAAATATCCTACATTATGAAATAATAAGTCCTTCTAAAACAAGTAATTTCTGACAGCATCAGAAATTGGAATAACATAGAATTGGAATAAAAATAACCTAAGAATATATACAATCAAATAAAAGTATTCTATTGCTAAGTCAGCATTCAAAATCACTGTGAGGGTATTATTTAAGTTATATTATTTTGTAACCTCAAATGCACTTTTTAAGGGAAGAAAAAATGAAAGTTTTTTTCTTCCTTACAGTTATGCCTTAAAGAGACAAATTTGCACAAAATCTGTAACAGTGATGGTGAACCTTTTGAGCTCGGTGTGTCAGCATTTTGAAAAACCCTAACTTAACTCTGGTGCCGTGTCACATATAGAAATTTTTTGATATTTGCAACCATAGTAAAACAAAGACTTATATTTTTGATATTTATTTTATATATTTAAATGCCATTTAACAAAGAAAAATCAACCAAAAAAATGAGTTTGCGTGTCACCTCTGACAAGCATGTCATAGGTTCGCCATCACTGATCTATAATAAAAGCATAATATGCTAATTAGACCGGATGTCCTTCCGGACAAAGCCGTGGTGGTGGGGGCCGAGGCAGAGACAGTCACTGCAGCAGTCAGGGGGTATGGGGAGGGGACTCCCAAGTCCCTTGCATGAATTTCGTGGAACAGGCCTCTAGTTAGAAAATAAAATAAAAATAACTATGAGGGTCTAGCAGTTTCAAAAACCAGTGGGCCTTTAAGAGGTTTTCACTAACCTAATGTAGCTCATCACTACAATGGTATGGAGGAAACTACCAGCTAAGCCATGGTCCCCTCAGAGCTACAGAATGAATAATGCAGCATCTATTTCTTCCAAGCCACGGAACACGGGTGAAAACTTACCTTCAGTGGAGATGACTGCAAACAGCCTTTGAGACCACTTCATCCTGCCATTCTGCTGTAATGACAAGGATGAAAACTACTGCCGCAGCCTCATCACTTTTCCACTTCCTTTCCTGCCAAGTTCCCAGTGCTGCTGCATCTCAGAGTTACCTCGTGAGGCTCAAAAATCTGCCAGACAACTGTTCTGGGGTGGGCCTGGGGCCCTGGTGTCTAAAAGCGCTCCAGGTGCAGTCAAGGCTGTGAACTACTGACTCGCTCCCAGAATTGCTGCCTTAGACTTCTCTGCCTTCAGTCTGCCCTCCTGTGACAGCCTCTATTAACACTGCCAGAATGATCTTCCCGTAAGGTCTACAGAACTAGTCGCACTCCTGAGCACAGTGTAAAAGACTCAACAGAATCTGCTCTTAAACACCTGACCAGCTGCCTCCCACACTCTCTCCACCAGCTCCACCAGCTCTCGTTTTCCACACGCGTCAGCCTCAGCCCCTGGGCCTGAACACTGACTCATTTCTTGCTCTGAAATGCTCTCCGCCATTTTTATCTGTGTATCTGCCTGGAGAGTGTCTTCTCTACGAAGCCTCTCCTAACGTCCTAACCCACAGCCCCCCATCATGTGCTCAAAGCACAAGTGCACGGGTTTCATGTTTGTTTGTCTGGTTGTGTTGTTTGGTCAAATGGGAGTGTTATTGTAGAGCGCATGTCTCTCATCAACATTAGGCATTTTTTGAAGCAAGGAGTATGTCTCATTTGCCTCTGTATCCCCCAAACTTAACACACTGCCTAGCGAATACTGACATTTTGTATTTGCTGAATAAATGATTGAACAGCATTTTATACTATTTTCACTTACTACCGACAGAGCCAGACGGGATTCATATTGGGTTTATGAACAACTCAAGCTTATAGTAAATTTAAAAAGTCTTAATATTTAATATTTAGTAATAGTAAGGACAATTTCTTTCAAGGTTAGCCTTTCAATTATGCTTCTAGATGAATGTAAAACATGGTTAAAGTCAGAGGAGAACCTTCATTACATCCTCAAGAGTGCTCTCTGATTATCCGCCTCCCCAACCACACATTTTCAGAATCACCTTAGAGTTCGGTTAGGGAAGGAAGCCCACTTAATGCCCACCACAAGTTGGCCTACTTAGGCTGCTCCCATCATGTGACATCTAACCCACAACTCTGGTGAACATGCTTACTTTGTATTTGCTTTCTGATCTGGAAGGGGTGGGAATATGTCCTTTTTTCTTGAAGGTTGTAAAGTGCTTGCATTGAGGGCATGGTTTGGTGCTGGCATCAATACGGCCAAGTTCCAAGAAGTATTTATATTTTATGGAGTCTTCATGCGTTAGGTTATAGACAACCGTTGTTTCCTCCAGGAATTCAAAGCATTCTGTGATAGGGCATTTGATTTCTACTTGGCCAAGCTGTACCTGCATGGGAGAGAAGATGGGAGAGAAGACAAAGTCATCGGTTATTGCATCTCTCTTCTTTTTCTTCACATAGTATTTTTTAATGATTATAGAAAAGAATCACCTGTTATTTTTCATGGTTCCTAACATGGTAAATGCTAAGCACATTGGTATCTACATTGAGCAGTACCAAAATGATCTGTAGTGTGTCCAGGAGCTCTCAACCTGTGGGTCGCGAACAATGAAAATACATCCTGCATATCAGATATTTACATTGATTCATAACAGTAGCAAAATGACAGTTATGAAGTAATTTTATGGGGTCACCACGACATGAGGAACGGTATTATAGGGTCGCGGCATTAGGAAGGTTGAGAACCACTGGACTTTAAGCATTCTCTCCTATTATAGTATTTGTGAATGTCAGTGGGCCTAAACCACAGGCTCACCAAAGTAGCAAATCATCATCCCACTCTCTGGAGACCCCAGGGTGAGAAAGCCACTAAGGGAACAGCTGGAATGATAAGGTATTTCAGATTTTTCAACCTTACCCCAGAACATGTCAGCACTAAACTTCAGGCACATGCAACCATTTTAAAAGGACAAAAAGGAGATTATGAATATATATCTATATGTGTAATTTAAAAACTACCTGCTGAAAGCGTAAATTACTACTTCCTTTTATGCTACTATTGTACAAAGCAGGATCCACAGAGGTTTTTCAAATATTTGCCCCAAATGGTTTTTTCTATTTTTTATGAGTCTGCCTATACTTGCAATCAGATTTTATTACATCGTTAAAAGTTATGATAATGTTATTATAACCCACATTATGTTTTATCACAAATCATTTTCATTTATAGCTCAAGACAGAAGTCCCCTGCAGATTTTTAAATAGACGGAAACTATGTGTGCTATTATAAGAAACTGGCTTAAGGAGATGGATAAGACATTTTAAAAATGAATAAATGTTTCCTCTTTTCACATTCTGTCGACATTTGTCCAGCCCATGTCTGAGCCAGGTACTGGGTTAGACACTGGTGCTTTGCAAGTGTCTATCGGTAAAGAGGCAGCTGTGACACAAAGTGGTGAATATGGCTAACAGAGTGTCAGGGAGGATACGGGGGAGGCTTGGTAACCTCACACTCGGAAGTTTCAGAAGAGGCTTCTTGGAAGAACTGAGGTTTCAAGTGAGATCTTAAGATTAGCAGGACTTTGTCAGATAACATACAGATGTTTCCACAGACAGAAGACACAGCAGGGGCAAAGGCCTGGATGTAAAGAGCACAGAGCACCCTGCAGGAGGGACACGCATATCTTTCCCACACGCCCAGTGGATCCAATATGTCCTCAGGTACATGCACCCTAAGCTAAAGATGGCAGCCTCAGCGGCACTGGACGATGAACAGGAAGACTGAAGTGCAAAGTGTAGTTCAGAAAGATGAGGCTGTACAGACAGATCAGAGCACAAGGGCAGAGCAGCAGGGCATGAAGTCATCCTGGCTTGAATTGATGAGAATGGAAAACTATGGTCTTAGCGTGCAAAAGATGACTTCTTTCCATTCCACACAGAAGGGGCTCACCACTTGGGCCATCTCAGTGACTCTTATTTATTGGGAAGGAACATACGTTAGGGGGTACCAGCTGGAATACTTTTTGTCCCAGGTCCATGTTTTAATCTGGCCTCCCTCAACTATAAATTTATTTGTTCGAACTATAGAAATGTTAACAATGGAAGTAGCAATTCCACAGCTACCCAGGAACAGTCAGATCTTACGGGAATGGAATATCCTTTAGGGACCAAGAATGTAAGGGAGCTGATGGGGAGTGGGTTATCAGGTTACTCCTTCGGCGGCAGTGTTTGTTACTACACCGCATTAAGATGCCTGCCATCTAACATCCAACCAAATACCTTTTCTTCTGAAGTGTTTCTCAAATCTGCCTGCCAATCTACTCCATCTCCATAGAACACATAATTTCCTTATGCTTTCACACTGTCTGCATTTTGCCTATTCCATACCTGCTTTCTGAAAGCTCCAAAATCCCTACCCCACTACATTGAGTCAAATGATCTCATATTTTATTAAACAGAAGCACTATGATCATATTTCCCCATATTTCCACTGCTAACTGCCCCCATATTTTTTTTTTGTCTTCCTTTCTTTTACAGTATAGGGCCCAAATCTACTTCCAGGACAATGGCATGAGTCGCTTGAAGTGTTTGTTGAAAATTCAAGTTTACTGGCCCACAAAGCCCCTACAAAACTTTAATCATTGCTGATAAGCTAGTCACTGGTAATTTGGAACAATTACTCATACAATCCTTTGAATTACTCATCCCTCTTCATACAAACAATATCCGTCTTTTCATAATAAAATGCTATTCATGGCCTGTATTTCTTGGCCTCTACAAGTCTATCTTTTCTCAGAATAACTTCCTGAAAAAAATCACTAGCAAACAAGTCATCATGATTAAGCAAAGTACATTCATTTACTCAACATGATAACGTATTTCATCAATTCAAGCATGCATTTTTTCAACATTGTAATATCTCAGAAGTCAAGATTTTCTTACAATCAATAGTCTTTAAAACTATGGCATTATGCCATAGTTTAATTTGCAGTGTTTTTATTTTCTTGGTGGCTCAGAATATAATACTGCATCCTACAATTGATCATGTCTTAGATTTCAATGAAATGTGGTTTTTATGGGTTAGGCAGTATGATGGACTCTGGAGAGATGGAGAGAGAAACAGAACTTCTATTGGAGGCAATTTATGATACACAAGTGAATAAATCAGGCAGACTGTAATCAGTTATGACACCACAGAAGGTATCTAAGGAGGTGACAACTTAAACTGAGAACTAAAGGGCGTGTCATGCAGAGAACTTGGGGGAAGGGACTGCAGGCAAAGGAAACAAGGATAATGGCCCCACGGCAGAAGGTGCCCAGTATGCCTGTGTTCAGAGAACAGAATTGGGTGACTGGAACACATCCGAAGCCAGCCAGAACACACAGGCCTTGTTGGCTGTGATAAGAAGTGTGAATTGTATTCTACGTTCAATATGAATCATTGACTGGTTTTATGATGAGTGACATACCCCAAGTTACATTAAAAAAATCAGTCACACTCTTCCTGTAGAATGAACAGTAGAAGAACAAAAGCAGAAACTAGGAGAATAGTATGACTCTGGATTGCACCTGTTCTCACCACCACTGGCATCTAACTGTGGCCGTTTTCCAGGCAGGAAATGACAGAAGATGGAACTAGGTAGCCAGAGGTAGGCAGGGGTTCTGTATGGAAGTGAACCAAATGGGGTTTGGTGATGAACCAGATATGGAGCATGAAGTAAAGGAAGAAATCAAGGATGACTCTAGGTTTTTGCTTGAAATAATCTGATTGGTAGGTGCTACTTACTGAGTTTTTTTAAATAAAATATAGTTTATGTGGATATGTGATATTTGCTGGAAGTGATTCACTGCAAATTTATTATAGTAACAAGAATAAAGATCACTAATTCATCCAAAAACATATTGAGTTCCTACAATATCACACATAAAAGATATAAAGTAGTTTAAGTCATGAATCTTGCCTTAATGGAATATGAGGATACAGTAATTAAATCTGTGTTGACAGTCTTTTCTAGCAACTTGGGATTTGACGGTACTAATTCATTTAATATTTTACCCAATGTTTGAAATTCTTTTGTTAGGGATAATCATAAACATATGCAAAAGTTGGCAGATGGGTATTATGAGACCGTAAGGACTCCTTCTCCAGCTTCAACAACAATCAACTGTTGGACACGTGTTCTTTTCTGTGCCCTGACACAGATGGCCCTCCCATATTACTTTGAAGCAAAAACCAGAAATTATGTCATTTCATTCATAAATATTGTAGTATTTATGAAAGAAAACAAGTCTTTTAAAAAACATTACCATGATATCAAGTATCTCCCCAAAAGACAATAATTCTTCAAAATCAATTTAACAGTTTAAATAACATGTCATCAAAATTGTTTACAGGATTTTATGTACTTAATATACTTAAAACCAAGATATTTTTAATTTGTTATTTTCAAATGCTAATACTACTATTCATATCACTGGAAAATACACTTTCCAATTCTTCTGAACAAAAAATGCCCAATCTTGTAAGACAAAATTTACTTCACTCTAAAACAATCTCCAAGAGTGCTAGGAAGAGATGCTCTTTTCCACTTAGTGCTCAAGCTGCATGGATAATTTGCCACCTGGGAGGGCTCAAAAGTAGTTTAGTGACACAGGTGAAGGAGAACTCTGAAAAAGTGGCAGATTCATTAATTAAGTCATTCAGGGAAAAGAAGAGAGGAAGCATAAACCTTCGACTTTGAAGCTCAATTTATCAAATGTGTGGTTTACGATTTTGGCCTTGGTTCTGAGTGTTGGTCATGATAGTTTACAAGGTGCCTTAGCCTTTCATTCACTTGATACCAGGGGATTTCATATTTCCATTTTTCCTTAAAAAATGGAACATGTCAGGCCCAGTGGGCGTGGCTCAGTGGTTGAGCACCGACCTATGAAAGGTCACAGTTCGATTCCCCATCAGGGCACATGCCCAGTGTGGGGCATGATTCTCTCTCATCATTAATGTTTCTACCTCTCCTTCTCCCTTCCTCTCTGAAGTCAATAAAAATATTTTTGTTTTATTTAAATGGAACATATCAAGGTGGCAGGGAGAAGAGAATACCACGACAAAAGCATTAACAATAATGAAATGTATGCCATACCCCCTGCATGCCAAGCACTGTTTTAAGCACTTTCTGTCCATTAATGGCTTTGTGGAGCACACTAGAGTCAGATTCATTTTCAGGTTCATAGATTTTCCCACAAGTTTATCATCAGTGATTACAGGATGTGGCTGCTTTATTGATAAATGTGATTTTTTGTTTACAGAGCACTGAGCTAGGCACCTTTAATTACTAAAGATAATAATGAAAAACATAAAACCAAATATCCCAAAAGCTCCCTCTGCCCCAGGCAAGAT